GATCTTTAAAGTCTGTCATATCATTTGGAACAGGGCTTAGACCTTCCCTCATGTGTCTAGGCTGAGAGAGTATCCCTCTATGTGGAGCGGGCACCCAAAATCCATTAGTGTACTAGGGATAAATACTGATCCGCTACCAGAGGACCCATATATTGCCCAGACCTCCAAACTGACCTCCTTGTTCAAGGGGTCTGGAACAGTCCTATGCTGGTTTCTCGGCTATCAGTCTGGGCTCCATGACCAACCCCTTGTTCAGGTCAACTGTTTCTGTGGGTTTCTCCACCCTGGTCTCGACCTCCTTGCTCATCACTCCTCCCTCTCTGCAACTGGATCCCAGAGTTCAGCTCAGTGTTTAGCTCTGTGTATCTGCCTCTGCTTCCATCAGCAACTAGATGAAGGCTCTATGATGACATATAAGGTAGTCATCAGTCTCATTATTGGAAATGGGTATGCTTTGATAAACTTTGATTTTCGCTGTCTTGACACTTTTGGGAAAGTACCTTTATATGATTTAACAAGTTTTTTTTCTTGTTAGGAAATCAATATTGGTGTTGATGTAATTACCAAAATAGGCAAATTCCTTCCAGCTCCCACCACTTCTTGCTTTGTGCTAAGTTTCCACTCTGTGTACTTCAGAACCTCTAAAGCACTTTCAGGTTTCTGCATTGATAAACTGTTCTAACTTTTCATTCTTTGTCCCATTCTTTTGGAAGACATTACCTACTGTTTTTCCTGAGGCCACTTTCTCAAATGCAATTCATCTTTCATGTTATTTTTTGCTGAGGAGACCTGATGGGACCTTTAATGCTATGTAAGATTTCCAAATGTATAGTATTTCACACATATATTTTTGTAGCTATGCATTATAATTATTTGTCTATTCTGTAGTTCTTGTGAAATGTCTGGTTCTAGAAAACAAACTTTGCCCTAGACTTCATTGTTGTGTGACATTTCTATGGAAGATGTAACTGAATGCCTCTTTACCCACAAACGAGACACTGAAGAAAGACAAGAAAATGAATTTCACCCATGTCCAGCATGACGAACTAATGGGATCTGGAAGGCTAGTTGCAGGAACATGGATGCAATACCATTTATATCAAGTAGATGACTCCAAGGCAGTAACACCACCAATAAGTCTATCCTAGAATAAATAATAGCTTATGGGCATTTTATTTTTGAGATTCTATGGAGTCAAATTCCACAAAAACTCACCTCACCCTGCCAATCTATTCCTGCCTTTAAAAATTGGAGAGAGGTCTTATGAATCTTGTGCCTTTCTGAGCATCTTGTACCCAGTAAAGCTTTTTTCTAAGATTTACTTTTATTTTGAGTTATATGTATGTAGGCGTGCCCATTTTGGGGGTATATTCACAGATTTTGCCAGTGTATTCAGAGATTCATAGATGTCTTGGATCTAGATTTACAAGTGTTTGTGAGCCACATGGGACATGGACTCTGGTCCTCAGCAAGTGAAATATGATCTCTTAGCAAATGACATGTCCCCGCTGCCTTGGTAAAACTTCTGACTTTCCTGAGTGTGATGAACCTCCCTCCAGGAGAGAATGTTTCAATCTAAGGAAATGGGTACATAGAGCATGTTCTGATGCTAGTGACAATCACAGTGAAGGACTAAGGATACTTGGTAAAAATTAATTGATTACCACTGGGAAATAATTCACAACAGAACCTCAGAAAGTATATGGTGGAATAAAGCACTGGCATAGTTGTAACACACTCCCTAGATGACAGTTTAAAGACCCTAAAAATGCCAAGATTATGTGGATGCATGTGATTAGATATACAAGCAAAAAAGAAATAATTTCATGTGAAAGCCAAAACAGAAAATGAGAAAGGAATGCTAAAGATTAAACTTGCAGGTGACTAACAACTATGTAGGAGTGCAAAAAGGGACATATTTACTGTATGATATCCAGTAACTCTCTGGTGTCACTGGATAGTGGCAAAGATTATGAAGAGATCAGATCGCCAAAAGCATAGATTCTTTAAATATTTAAAATCAGAGAAAAATGAAATGAACTTGCTTCAGACAGTGTGTAGTCTCTCATTTAAGTGCAGAAGTTAGGATTAATAACGTTCATGGCATGTATATAAATGTTATTCTCCCAAAATTGATGAGAAGATAGACTCACAATTCAATTTCACTTTTCATCAAAGGCGGAAATTACTGCATTTTTTTGATTCATGCATCTAGCAATACTGGAGAATGTGTGTTCCTGATGAATCATTATTTAGGCACTTTAGAATCCTATAACCATTGTTGATAACACAGTAATATGAAGCCAATGAAATGTAGCTGATTTGCACATTATATTGTTGCTATCAATATAATGTGATAGAGTGGGGGCAATTCCAAAAGTGTGACAGCATTGTCTCTTTCAATTGTATTGATCTTTCACTACAGGACTATGTTTTGTTTGTTATTGGATTATCTCATATTTTCAATTAAACACCAAGTCTGTCGTTCAATGGAATCATGTTTACCCTTTTGTAATGGACCGCATTTACAAATGGTGAAATCAGGCACACACTTTCCTCCTATTCCAGCCCTCATATGGTTCTGCTATCTGTTTTTTAAAATGTTCTTTTATTTTCAAAACCCATTGATTTCCCCAAGACCTTATTAATTTTATAAAGAATGAAGTAGTGTAAGGCATGAAAGATTTTCTTAAATTTGTTGCTTGGATGTACATGAAACTTTGCAATCACCTCTCTGTACATAAGGTGATCCTCTCAGAACATTTGTCTTTGGGTACCTTACCAGTCAGAATAGTATTTGAAATTAAAATTCGGGTCAATAAAACATAGAGGTTTTCTGCTAAGTACTCAAAAGGCAGTTCCTCAGCAGGTTGTAGCCACGGGAGGACCAGAATTCAAGAGCAGTCAGGCTAATAGAGACATCAGCTGTGAAACAAACCTAAATCGAAGGTTAGGAATTCAACTTGACAGAAAGATTAATAATCCAGCAGGGAACACTGAAAGCAACACTGGTGGTTTCAGCTTTGCTTGGCGATCCCATAATATGAAGAAAATAAATGAATAAACAAATAAATAAATAAATAAATAAATAAATAAATAAATAAATAAAGTGGAATAAAATCAATCACACTTTGGACCTTGATAGTTTTTGAATTTGAATACTGGCTGTGACTGAACCCCTGAATGTAAGAGGCTAGACATCTTTCAGAGTGATTTTACTAGTTTTCTTGAAAAACCTATTGAGTGGTCACAGCTGGAGAGCATCAGAAAGACAAAAAGGGTTTTGTTTTTGTTTTACAGTGAACTTCATTTTTATAAGTAATACACCATAAAATATAAGGGGCATAAGGCAGTTAACTGGTATTGGTTATAATTACCGTGTATTAATACACGATACACATACCTCACTGAATGTTTTCTAATCTTTTTACAAGAATTTAATAGATAAGTACAATGCATTTTTATCAAATCTATCTGTTCTTCTACTCCATAAAAAATCATGTCTCCACATACACCGTGCAAATGTTTGTGTGCATGCATGTATATTTGTATGTATATATTTGTGTGTATGCTTGTATGTATGCATGTATGTATGTATAGCTACTGAGTCCACTTAGTGTGACTTTGAGTTCCCTAATGGTTAGAGATATTGTAAATTCGTCTTGAACTATATTTCAAGGAAATCATTTAAGTTCATAAAGTAGTTTTGCCAAATTTGCAGGGTTTGGCCAGAGTGCAAAATTTACTTATTGAGTCATTGTTTCTCGTGTATCTTCCTTCCCAGATCTTAGAAGGAGTGTGCACTAGGAAGATTTGGGGCATAGGCAAAGTCTTACTGTAATTCATTTCAAGTGTCTGAGAATGAGGACATGCTGCCTGCTTTCCTGAGATATGTTCCTCTGAACATAAACTATGTTTTTAAGCTTTATTGTACAGTGCAGATTATGTGAAGTGTGTCTAGATGGAGGTGAAGAGAAAAAGTTTAGAACGCATGAAGTAGATCTATTCCACAAATTGTTATTCTACATTATGGCAAACCTACATTGTCTCTGCAGGTAATCAGAGACAAGTCCTAGCCTCATGCATTAATGAGAAGACATAGACCTTGGACCATGAGACAAGAAGATTTACCTATGTGCACAACACATTTTCACAGCAAATCAGATTACTCTGTTTCTGTGTAGTTATTTACATATTTCATTTTTCATCAGAGTTATTAATAATTATCATTGTTATCTAAAGTTACACTTTCGAGGTAGCAATTAAGTATCTACTCCCCATGATTCCAAATGCTAGCAGGAATGGGACATTATTAATGTCTGAGCCTATGAACCTCAGAGTTGGACTCTTTCCATCTCCCACTGTCTCCTAACCTGATCAAAGGGAATCTAGGTAGCACTATCCACATCTTATTCCATCAGCCACCAGACTAATTTATGGGAAATAGGTTGTGTGGAGACCATCTAAGCTTTCAGTCTAGCCTACAATACATTGCTGAGACTCATGATTCCAGAAAAAAGAAAGGAAAAAATGTTCCAGCAATCCTTGCAGTGATCCAGTGTCCTACAAGATTCAATAAACACCAATACTACCAGATCTGCTGTCTAAGCACCAATAGAGCATCCTTTGTTCAAGTGTTCATAGAGCTTTGATTTAATTATCTTCCTTTCTCTTTAGTATTTTTAGAGAACCGCTTTAGATTAGAATATTGAGCGCTCACATTTCAGGAGAACAAGAAGTGCAGTTAACCATCTATATGACACTCTAATTGAGGAATTTTTGTTTTCCATCTGTAAAAGTACCATGTGGTCAGTATGTTAGATAGCTTAATGGATCAATGAAAACCACAGAGCTTGAAGTCTTTGCTTTACATTTTTACTCCTGATGGATGCTAGTGCATGTTAGCCCTAACACCTAAAACAGAGGATAATGCATCGTCAGCAAACATTGCTAAATTAAGGAATGAATTTCAACTTAAAAAATTAACTCTGTGTCCACAGTTCGTCTGCATTTCTGCTAGGCAAAACCATACTCACACTGGATTTGAAGTCAGGATGAAGAACTACATGGTGATTTCCTGAGGGAAGCAAACAACGAGGTAAATTTGACTGCTTGTAAGAAAGGCTGCTGTCTCATTTGACATTAATGGGGATCAGTTAAAAATAAATGCAGCTGTTCTGTAGTAATATACAACAACAAAAAATTCAGGACCCATCTTTTCCTTGCCATTCTGTCACTCTGGCCTTATCTTTTAATTAAACCTGAACTTTAAAATAAATGTTGCTGGCTGGCTACTTTATTGAATGGTATATCAATGGAGAATGCAGATATTGGTATGCTACACAAAGCCTTTCAAAAATAAATGGCCACATAAAAAGACTCTGATTGTATTGAAAGTCAAAGTTTATGGATATCCTGTTAAGAGCAAGCCCAAGAAATCTGTGAGAATGAAAGTGACTTTATTTTAGACTTCTCTAGACTATACCAAAGGACTCACACCACTTTCCTTAAAGAATGATTGACTTTTGTTCAACACAGCAATTTTGCAAGGAAATGTGAAGTTAATTATGGTTTATTCAATGCAAGTCAACCCGAACCTCTGAGTTCAAGCTTGCTAACTTTTATACATTTTCTTCCTTCCTTCCTTCCTTCCTTCCTTCCTTCCTTCCTTCCTTCCTTCCTTCCTCCCTCCCTTCCTTCCTTCCCTCCTTCCTTTCTCTTTCTTTCTTTCTTTCTTTCTTTCTTTCTTTCTTTCTTTCTTTCTTTCTTTCTTTCCCTTTGGTTCTTTGTTTAAGATCTATCACAATCAATCCGCTGAATATTCTGTCAATTACTCATATCACACTAGCAATAGCAGTGATTAGTGGCAGCTATTTGGCTATTATTTTGTCATTAGCCAATGGCATTAACTTTTCAATAATAAGAAAATCAAGGGTAATGATTTTGTTTGTGGGCCTGTAAGAAACACACACAGATACTTAAACGTTGATTATGTTGCAATATTGAGTATTAGATAATCAGGAGTAAGGTTCTTGGTCCTGTTTGTTCTCCTCAAGATACCATTACAACATTTAGCACTGTACAACTCAAGTTTTACTTTAAAATTCCAATGATGATATCTGCCTTTGTTCCCCCTATAAAGAGTAGGAACAGGGAACATGAATGTGGTTTTGAAAAATTAAAGTTATACCAAGATGCTATTATATCATTCTAAAATCTGGTTTTTGAAATCAGAGTTAAAGACTTCTCTACTGTATTTATTTGCCCTACTGTTGTTATCACTGTTTCTATCTCTTGGATCTATTATAAGCAAACTGAGTTTTCGTGTTTATTTGTATATTCAGGTATGAATGTTAGTGACATATTTACATCTTCATATGTACATAATTTATACCCACTTAGTATATGCAAAAGTTGAGAAAAATTAGCAACAGGTAAGCATCTTAAAGTTTGATTATAGGAATGTGAGTCCTTAACTGCATAATAAAATTTGGTGGTAGCACATGCCTTTAATTCCAGCACTGGGGAAGCAGAATCAGGCAGATCTCAGTGAGTTTGAGGCCAGAACCTTGCTAAAAAGCAAGTTCCAGAACAGCAAGAGCTGTTATATAGAAAAACCATGATCCAAAACAAACAAAAAATCAAACTAATAAAGGAAAATTGCTTACATAGGTTGACCTAAATCTACAAGATGAACACTAATACAGAAGAAAAGCATTATCATTGTAAAAGACAAACAAGTTTAGAAAGTGTGGTATTCACATGACTAGAATGGAAATATTATTCAGCGACAAAGAATGAAGTAATGTCATCAGTGCAATGATGGATGGAACTGGAGGTCACCATGGTAAGCAAACTAATCTAACCTAGAAATACAAATTTATATTTTTCCTTACCTTCAGAATTTAGATTTTTAGAGAAATATATCAAGGTAAATTTTTTTCAAATGAGCACCAATGGTACAGAGGCAAAGAGGTTAAGAGGAAGGAGTATATGAGCAATTAAAATACATTGTATATGTGTATGAAAATGTCAGGGTGAAAGCAGCCAGTATGTCAATTAATTCCTCCTAGTAAGAAACTTCATGATAAAGATGGCTTAATCAACCTCAATGAGACAATTACAATGTTTAGTTCCAATTTACAATATCACATTTTTTTCTAAACTACTTCTTTAATATCATTATTTTCTAAATGTTTGGCTTACTTAAAGATATGTTATACATAGAGCAAAGGTTTACCAGCCTATAATCCTCTACCCCAAGGAAACTAGAAATCATGAATGACTCCAGAGGGAGGTGGACTGGCGTTTTGCCCTGGTGGGTGGGAGGGAGGAATGGGGGTGGGGGGAGGGAGAGGGAGAGGGAAAGTATATGTGAAAATATTAATAATTTAATAAAAAAAAAGCAGGAAAAGGTAATACAAAAACAACTCATAGCAGTATATATCTAGGGGGAAAAAGAGCTTATCTCACTAGGAATCAGGAAGACACACATTTGAACAATAAGATATTTTCTTTTGCTAATGCAACTGGCAAAATAAGAAAAGATTTACAATGTGGGGCTGGGGAAATGACTCAGTAGATAAAGGTGTTTGCTGCCAAGCTCCATGACCTGAGTTCAATCCCACGGGCCCACATAGTAGAGCAACTTCTACTGCCTGTTGTCCTCTGACCTCCACACTCACTGTGGCACATAAACTCACACAGCTAGAGAGACAGACAGACAGACAGATGACACAAATAAATACAATACAGCTTTTAAAAAGGACAGATTTGTGATACAAAGATGAACAAGAATGTACTGAAATGAGAGTACAAATTGTCACTTTGTTTTGTAATTAACACACTTGATTAAGGTAATTCTCCTTCTGTGCTACAACTTTGTCTCTGGGGGGACAATTTTGTGGTTTTTATTTAAGCCCAAATAAAGCATACATATGAGCTGTCAAAAAAAAAAAGATATGTTGTTATGTGGCTTGTTACAAGAGCAGAGGTAAACAATATTAAACACAATAGCACATAATCATTGTAAATCAAAATTAATTGCTTCAATAGTTGGCATAGGAATATAGAAGATGATAACTGAGAATGAATGCTTCTACATTGGTTTGGTTTTCTGAATCCATGGAAGGCAGTCTGCCTGCAACACAGCTTAACTTCACATTTGGCTCTAAGAAACTGTCGTGCTTGCTTTACAAGCTTTCTGTGCCCTGTACTCACATCATATCTCACTCCCCTTTATGGGATCATTAAAATGAATAAACAGAGTAATTACATTGCCAGCAAGTATGGCTGTACACAGCATGTATTCTGAATGTTCTAATTGTTCTGAAAACCAGTATCTGTGTTTCAAATGCTGACAACAAAGGTAATGGCTTTTACACCCAGATGAGCCAATAGCTTCCTTCTATGAGTTTTTAGACTTACTACATGGGAAAAGTTGTAATCATTACTTTTGCAATGATAATATCTTAATGTACAACACTTATTGAGAGATTGAAGAAATGGCTGTGTTGTTCAGGACTCTGCATTATTCTCAGCGCCAGAGTAATATTTCCATTTTGGACAACAAACAGGTAGCTGTCCACTTAATATCTCTTGGTTGAATAGTATGGAAATTGATTTGCTTGCCAGGATTTTCTGGCTGTGAAATCTAAGAAATTGGTTCTATATTGCTGCCTGAAGCACATTTTGTTCCTGTTTTTATTTTTTCTTCTTTGGACTCTAACTCTCCTGTATTTCATGTGATTTCCTATGGACCACCGAGAAACTCTACCTTTCTCTCGCCTGGAATTGACTTAAAGATCCTTTTTCCTTTTACGAAGATAGGTGAGTCATTAAATCAGGAATTTGAGGAATCAATTCAGCTGCCTCAGGCTGATTTGTGGCTGTGTGGACCCATGGCTCTTCAGAAGCCCAGCTGCCTTTGCTCTACATAGACAGCAGAGCTTCCCATTCTCTGGGAATAGTCAAGGATTGAGATCTTCTGGTTTTAAGAACAAGAGTTCTTCTATTTGGAAGGAAACTGGACTCAATAAGTAGCTAAATAATAACACCTAAAGCAAAGATCAGATCACCCCACCTACTTGACTGAGTGGCAGGTACTGGAAGATGTAGTTACTGACATATTCTAGTGCTGTGGATGACAGCATGACTTCTTACTAGACTGCCTGACTTTGACTTTTTGTCCGAGCTCTTATTAGCTTTTCAATTTCAGGCAACTTAATAAAGTCCTGCTGAGATAGAAATATAAGTAGTACCACCATCGAAGGATTGTTATTAAAATTAAATGTGCTATGTAGTATTTAGAATGCAATCTTGTTCCTCTTCCATTGCTAATATATCCTAGCACATTTTAATATTGTTAGATGTCTACCACTAATGTCACCATTACAGTGTCAAGTTACTCTCTCAAATATAACGTAGATGAGCAGTTTTATAAGTAATAAACAGCATTAAGCATAATAAGCTCTTACTTCTCTTTTGATGGAATGAATTTCCTATGCAGATTTACTCTTGGTGTTATCAGATGCTAACATGGGGACAGTCATAGGCAGGATGGCATGAGAATGCAGAAACACTTCCCTTTTAGTTAGTGTTACTTTGTTAGAGTAGACTGTCTTAAATTCTCTCTCGTAGTTCAAGAGTTTGGTGAATGCAGGGCCAGTTCAGAAGAAATAATCCATTATTTAATTATCCATAATCTAGTGCATTACCTCCCAAATGTCTTGGAAGGCAGAAGAAATATAAAATAAAACTCCAACTAGCAAAATATTTCTGTCATTTCACATGATAGGTTTGGCATTATTTTCACTAGTTTGGTGTATCTGAGAAATATGGGTAAATTGTCCATATATAAAGCCATTTAGTGGATTGATGTTAATTAGATTTTGGAGCAAACCCTATACCATCCCCCCAGTAGCTCTTATATTTAAAAGTATCTGGAAATGAACTCACTTAAGTGTCTAGTAAATGTGGCATTTCCTCTTAGTATTATATTGGTTCACACTCAGATCACTCTTGTGAATTTGGAAAAATACAAAGAAAATCTATACACTCTTTTTACAAAAACATAATAACTTATTTGTAAACCATGGAGAAAATAAAATATGAATAACCAAATAATTTAGTATTAGAGACACTAGATCATGTTTCTTCTGAGGAGTCCAAGGCTCAGGCTGACACAGCATATGAAACAGTGAACTTCCTTCCCTAGATGATTACCTGACAGAAAGAGCAAGAATAGGCAATTGATCCAAGAATATCCATGACACACATCAACTGAATCACAAAGATGTAATTAGTATGTAATAAACCCATTGAGAAAAACAAAAAGCATGAGCTCATATTGAGGCCAACACTGCAATACACACTGGAAGTATGTAAGAACACTTTAAATCATAAGCTCTTTCAAAACACCTACTTTGCTTTCTTTTCTAAATGGTTCAGGTTGCAAAACTGTAACTGAAGGAACCATTGGTTTTACCCAATAGAAGTTATGGGAGCCTCTTAAATAGTAGGTCAGAGTGGATAACATGGTCTTCTCCAGCAATATCCACCATGAATCTTCTGCCCAACACTCAAAGCCCATCTCACTTCTCACTTCCTATGCATCAGAAATCCATTTGGCTCCAAACAGGCTGATGAAACCCACAGAAACAGCTGAGTTGAACAAGGGACAACTCTTGGTCCCCAGACTGATAGCTGGGAAACCAGCATGGGACTGATTCAGATCAACTGAATGTGGGAATCAGTGAGGAGACCTTGGAAATCTATGGGGGCCCTTGTAGTGGATCAGTACTTATCCCTAGCAAAGGAATGGACTTTAGGAGCCCATCCCACATGGGGAAAACTCACTGAGCCTAGACACAAGGGGGTTGGTCCAGGCTCAATCCCAAAGAATATGACAGACTTTGAAGACCCACTATGGAAGGCCTCATCCTCCCTGGGGAGCAGAAAGGGTATGGGATAGGTAGGGTGTTTGTTGGGGTTGCAGGGGAGGAAAGGAGGGAGGGGTACCTGGGATTGTCATGTAAAATAATTTTCTTTCTAATTAAAATAAAATATTAAAAATAGAAATCCCTTTGGTAGCTCCTTTTTCATTGGCCCTCTTCCCTATAGTAACTTCTCTCACATATGCACAGTGTATAAAATGGCTACCATAGATGGTGTGTTTGTGTTAAAAAATAACATACAAGCTCTGTGGTGGTGGCACACACCTTTAATCCCAGCACTTGGGAGGCAGAGGCAGGTGGATCTCTGTGAGTTCGAGACCAGCCTGGTCAACAAGAGCTAGTTCCAGGACAGCTTCCAAAGCCACAGAGAAATCCTGTCTCAAACAAACAAACAAAAACAAACAAAATAACATACAGTATAAACTATGAACTACTGAAAATAGAAATAAAGATGTAATTAGATTATAATTCCATAACTGATCTTAATATGCTTTAAGTTCCTTCTTTAAGGAGAATGTGTTTGAATCCTTCTTTCTCATAATCCCTCATGATTTCATTTTCCTTACATAGATTTCTTTTTTTATATTTTGCTATCTTTATATACTTTAAAATATATGAAGACAGAATTTAATCTTCTTTGAAACATAATCTATATAAAGTAGGTTTTCCTACTTTTTTGTTCCAACTTTTTTATTTGAATTAGGACCAGGATTGTTTTACATGACAATCCCATTTACCTTCTCCCACCTGTCCTCCCCTCCCTGCCCCCCCC